CATGAGGCAACGAGGCCCTTGCCGAGTTGGCCGGTGTGCTGCGCCGGCAGCTCCGTATTTCTGTGCCCGTGTCTCCGTCCCCTGTTATTATTATTGCCGAGCGTGCACTTTTCTTTCTCGGTTTTTTTTTTATCCGCCACTCCTTTTTCCCATTCGATCCATCGGCTGGCGTGCCTGTCGGAAGCCTGGGTAACGTGACCTCTTTGATCATCGGCGTAGTGAAACGGGTTGTCAGAAATAATTACGAGCGACGTCGGCCGTCGTAGATGCGTGACACGCACTGCACTGTGTTCTTTTCCGTAACGCTCGACGCTGTCGGATCCAGTCAGCTTCGGAGTTTCGCGTGAAAGGCGACATTTCAGATTTTAATTCGCACAGTCAAATCAATCGGCATGCGGGTGCTTTTTTCCCTTCCCTTTTTTTTGGTTTGTTTTTTTTTTTTGTTTTTTGGCATAATCGGAAAAACGACAAAGTAATTACGCTTCGCGGCTTAACGGCTTAATATTTCACGCGTAACGTAACAAATGTGACATAAATGACTCAAACGTGCCGCTGTAACGCGCCGGGCGATAAATCTTCATCGAGAAAACCATGCAGATTCGAGTATAAAGCCCGCCACCGCAACGCGTGCTTCACTTTTCATGCGAAACTTGATACAAAATAGGTTGTATCCGTCCTCGACGATACGTATATAACCGCGTGGCGCGCACCCTTGTCATTCCGTGCGCGGTGCTGGGTGTGTAAGAAGTTAGAAGCGCGGTGAGGGGCGGCGGCGCGGGGGAGGGCGACGGAAGAAAGACCGCTATGATTTATTATCCCCCGCAAATTCTGTTTCTCCTCCGTGTGCACGCCAACTGCGTTCGCGTTCATCCATCTTTTTCCCTTTCACGGCTCACCGAGCAGGCCCCCTTCACCTCTCCTGCCCCTGCCGTCGCTCTGCCGCTCTCGTCGGATCGTCTCTCCCTTCGCTCGCCCTCTTTGTTCCGCGCCATCTCTCAAAGTGACTGACTGCCTCCTTTATTATCCGCTTGTCAGCATTTTTACACTTTTATCCCGAAGCTCTCCCGGTGTCTATTGTTCCCGCGGCGAATTCGTACGGTCACAATACGGTCTTGAAGGACTTGAACGCGCGGATCATTGTCGCGGTGTCGTCGGTTCCGCAGTCATTTTGACGGTGTATTGCGATTTGGGTGAGCGCCGGCCGCGCGCGGCTCAATGCACCGAATCAACTGAAAATGGATCGGCGAATAACGAGGCTTGTATTTGTTCTCAGGTAGCCTTTGATACCAGTATCTCGAACGAAAAGGGAGGCGCTCTGTCACGTGGAGCGCAGGTAGAGAAAAACGGATATATTCCACGTATCCCGCGCGCGTATAGTGTTTCCCACAAAATCACACGGAAAATCGTCCAAGTCATGATACTTGATCTTTGTCTCGACGTCTTATAAATGGCCGTGTACTCCGCAATCCCAAGCCGCTCTCACGTAAATTCTGAAACTCGTCCGGACTGTAAATTTGAAGTATTAGCGGAAAAGAGGCGGCCTCATCAATAAACATAAAGGAGCATTTCATTGTAAAAAATATTAGCATGTTTTTCTACTGGCGTCTACGACTGGCCAGTATTCGTGAGAGAAGAAATCCTGCGAAGGAGTAAGTTCAGTTCTGTTTATTACTCTTTGTAAACGTCACGTTCCGCAGTATAGCTATAAAAACATTTTTCGAATACTTATTCATTTTTCTGCAGCCTCAAATTTTTATTTTTTTCATTGTTATTACTTCGGTTGCTTTGAAGTTTATTTTAGAAAACGGATATTTTACGAACGGCAGTAAATAACTACTCGGGTCTAAATTTTTCAGTATCTTTATTATTCGTGTTTTTCATCTTTCACGTCATTACCGCTGTCAACACTTTTTACTAATAGCAACATTATAACTTTATCGGAATGAGCCGGGGGTCTGCCTGCTGCTTTTAAAAGCGAACCTTACATATTATACCTAACTGTGTGCAGCAATAAAAAGACACACACACACACAAAAAAAAAAAAAAAAAGCTTACTCTTTTGAACATTCAGAGAAACATACTATTGTGTTATACCATTCTATTTATTTTTTTTTTTTTTTTTCGTAAACCATAATTACTCGTATTAGAAATTTTCGTGCAGAAAATCTAAAATTTCGTCAATACTGTGATTAAAAAAAAAAACTGAAGCAGCGTTTCAGAAAATAGGACACAATCAAATATAACGATTCACAGCTATACAACGCCTTACAACGGGTCATTTTATGTTTAAATCGTGAGCGAAATAGAACGCGGTTTGCCATTAGCAGAAATTCAAAGGATACGTCAGCTTCAGATATTGCGGATAACATCTATCTCGCGCGTTGCATAAGCAGCGAACCACGCGCCAAATATGTATCAAGAGAAAAATGTCGCGTTTGCGTAAGGATAATTAACCTTGAAACAGCGCCGTGATATATGCACTGCTGATAAAACACAGCGTAGCATATAATAACGATTCGATCGCGAAATGATTCTGTCAACACAATTTACAGCAATAGCGAAACGCAGCGCTGCACATTTTCGACGGCTGCGAACGCTATAATCATTGCGAACGCACTTTGCGTCCAAGTTTATTCGATAAACATCGTTTATAATAGGAACACACACGCCTATGGACAGACTGTCTCTCAAATCCGTTATCGAAATGGTTCTAAATCTTTGAGAAGCGGGGCACGAAAGACCGACCTGAGATGAAAGAGAACTATATTAGCCGTAAACTCATCTGTCAGTGTCAAAACGTCAAAGAGTCGCCTTCGGGATATTAGCGGCGCCGTAACAGCAGACAGTTTACGCGAAGGCTAAACTGCCAGGCTACCTTTATTTCTTCTGGAGAAAGGCGCGGAGAGATACGATATTGACATTGAACGGAAATATGAAATCATAAACTCATTAATATCGTTCCGAAGACAAAAAGATTCACTCGCGAAACGTAACACGAGTCTCCGGAGGCCGGCCAGCCAGCCAACCCCCCCCCCCGTCCCTTCTCCCTCGCTCTTATTAATTTTCCAAATAGATTTATTAATGTTTGTCATGCAATATTTTTCACGCATTATTTACCGTGTGCCGTTTCGCAACGATCCTTGATAGTGCAACGGTACCTACGTTAATCTTTTTACAACGTAATAAACTGTGAAAAATAAAAATAATTTCCCTAGTTAATGGCTGAATAAAAGTTTTATTTTTACGATTGCAAAGATAAAAGCCGGCAATTTTGCGACACGGAAGAGTTAATATCTCGCGTCAGAATTGCGGGCGGGAATTGTTCGTCGAAGGGAGAAGGAAAGTAGCGTAACCGCCGAGCCACCGCGAATTTCTATTCGCGGCCTATATTATAATAGTTAATGATACCGAGAATGTTATAATGAATTCCAGCGTAAATTACAGTCGACATACCTATATGCATTTCTCAGATACTGTTCGGTTGCATTCCTGCGCGAAGTGCTCCCCGGGGTAATTATTGTTTACCGCGGGTATGCGGTCTACGTAGCGGGCGTGTGGATATCGTCATAATTCGTCGTAATTACCTTGTAACATAGTTACTTCATCGATCGCTTTATCTTGCTTAAGCTGTACTTAGCGGAATGGCCATAATCGCCTAACCGCGGAGCGCGTTTGAGTTCCAACGAGGTCTGATAGCCGAGCTCTTTAATGGCCATATCGCTCGTCAAGCGGACGCGCATGATGCGTGCCTGGCGAGCGTGTAAATGCGTTACGCGCGTGAGTGAGCCGTCGGATTTCGCCAAATATGTATTTTGCGCGGTTTGTTCTGCGTAAATACACCCGACATTTGCAACAATGTTACGATAGGGCTCGTCACAATGAATACCGAAAAAGTATCGCTCGTGTTGATAAACAAAGCGCGATTGCCACTATCGTTATCACGTGCAAAACTACAACGCATCGGACGGTGCGCGCATGTTAAAATCAAAAACAGAAGTTCTATTTGCGTCATTTAGCCGACCTGACAAGCCAAATGCCGCGAGAGGATTTTTGCAAACGTGCGTGTGACGACACTCGCGGATCATGTAAAAATGTATTTTTAAACCGCTCGCGCCGGGCCGGGAAGGATCCGCGCTCGGATCGTAGCGCGATTACAGAGCGCATTGTGCGGGCATCGATGAATCTCTGTGTGTCTGCGCGCGCGGATCGCGCGCGATCTCGGGGGAGACGCGCGGCGCGCAAACGCCGAGAGATCGGTAGCCGCGAGGCGTTAAGTACCGGATGACTCAGTGCGCGCCGTTGGCCGGTGCCGGTGCCGGGGCGATAATTAAAACGCTTTTACAAAACTGTAGGCAAACAGCGCTTAAGTGGCTGTCATTCGTTACCCCGTGGGGCCGCGGCAAGTCGGTAAGTCGCTGAGCGAGCAATCAATCACCCGACCCGCACTCCCCCTACCCCCGTCGGCCCATTACATTTCTATTTTGAAAGCTGCTTATTAAGCGGGGCCGGCTGGAGAGACAGACAGGTTTCACGGTATAAAATATCGGGTTGCCGTGGTGGCAGGAACGACGGTTCCGTGTCGTGGCAGCTATGGTAGCTCCGGCGGGACGGAGAGGACAGCGAGGGGAAACGACCGTGGGCACGAGTGAGAGAGAGAAGGCGAGAGAGAGGAGCGCGGAGCGACGGGGAAAGGGGCAAGCCGGCGGGGGAGGAGGGGAAGCACGTCGGTCGGACGGAACGGGGAGGGGGATGGACGGCTGTAAAAGCGGTGAAATATCAAAGCCGGGATGGGAGCTGTCATCGTCGGGCCAACATCATGGGTGGCGTGTTGAATTAGAATGCCTTCCCACACCCCACGCAGCACCGAACCCCACCGCAATTCTCCCACCATAATGCCATCTGCCCCCCCCTCTCCCCCCCGAGCCCTCCTTTCCCTCGATCCGGGCGTCGGGCGCGGCGGTGGGGGATGACAGGAGAGGACAGGTTATACACCCCGGGGTCGTCGGATGGTGGGTAAGGGAACGAGAGGGGCGGAGAGGGGGCGAGTAGAGAAGTTCGCGTTGCGCCTCTAGACGGCGCAGGAATAGCACTCCTCTCACAGCCGGAGAGCGACTACGCTCGAGAGAGCGCCGCACTATTTTCCCGGATTTCGTGCAGTACGCGTCGTCGTTGTCGATACGTGTGTGGCCCCCGCGCGAGAGGCCGTGATCGATTCCCTCCGACGGAGACGAAATTCGTGCGTACCGCGGATCCCTCTCGGAGGTCCTGCCGGTCGGGCCCGACGCGAGACGGTTTTTCGTGCCCGAGTGTAAAAAAAACGAGGGAAGACAAAGATCGCCCTCCGTTGGTTTGCAGTGCAGTGAGATTTATTAGTGGTAAAACCAAATGGTTGTGCTCGAGGAAGGCGGTATGCTGACCACTGGACACAATCAGTATTTACAGCCGGATTATCTTTCTCCGCTTCCAACTACGGTTAGTATCCGAGATGTTTTATTCCATTTTTTTTCACTCGTAATTTTCTCTACCGACTCTATCGATGTTAGCAAAAAATGTGATAAAAAGAAAGAAATTATGCGCAAGATGAAGATAAGCATGTAGAAAGTTGAAGATTGAAAATTTAATAATGCAACACTCGGTTTTCCTCATCAATTTTCCAGTGGGATCATCCGTTCGTGGTCCGACGGAACGCGGACGAACAGAGAATGACTCACGTTAGTTGATCAATATGCCTCATTTTTTGCAAATATCCACAACTTATCGTTTTTTTTTTTTTTGTCTTCCTTTATTTCTTATTTACTTCTCCTTCATTTATCTCTTTCTCATTTGTTCCTTTTTTCTTTCGATTGTAGTTGGACGCGAAGAAGAGTCCGCTGGCGTTGTTGGCACAAACATGCAGCCAAATCGGGGCTGATTCACCGACGAAGCCGCTCATCTCGCCCCTGGAGAAGAGCTCGAAGAGCATAAACATCGCTGCGAACGCAAAGTCGCCGCCAGCCGCGAAGCTGGAGCGCAACACGCGCAGCAGTCCGACGGACGGCAAGCCGCTGGCGTTCAAGCCGTACGAGACGAACGTCGTGACGAAGAAGAGCTCGGACGAGGGCAGACCCACGTCCAAGGCTAGTGTGCACAGTGTCAGTGGTCAGGATAGTGTGAGTGCTAGTGATAGCGCGCATCCCGACAAAAAATCGTCGGGCAATCGCACGCCGGTGAGTCGGAAGTCGGCGTCGCCGAGCGGCCAAGCGACGGCGACGGCCACCAGCGTCACGCCGTCGGTCGATCGCAAGACCCCGGCCGACCGCGAGAAGATTGACGGTTCGCCGCGAAGCAACAGCAACAACAACAGCAACAGCAGCAGTAGCAGCAACAACAACAACAACGGCACCAGTCCGATTATCCGATCCGGAATGGAGATTCTTTCGGGCGCGCACACAAAGGACGCCAATCTGGCCGCTTACAAGCCGGGTCTCGCAGGATTCACCGGCAATCCTCTGTGCTGCCCGCCGGGTCTGGCCGAGAATCCAGCCTTCAGGCCGCCTTTCGCCGGCGCGTCGCCGTTCTCGCATCATCATGCCGCGGCAGCGCTGCTCGGCTATCCGTCGGCCAGCCCGACGGCCGGCGGCAATCCTTACTTGAGTTACGCTCGCGTCAAGACTCCGGCCGGCGGCGAAGCCCTCGTGCCAGTCTGCAAGGATCCTTATTGCACCGGCTGCCAATACAGCATGCACAGCGCGCAGATCATGATGGGCGCGGGAAGTTGTCCGAGCGGCTGCACCCAGTGCGATCATCAGAAGTACGGTCTGGCCATGGCACTGTCGTCTCTCGGCCCGATGCCGCCCCCGTCGCTGTCCTATCCGTCCACGCTGGCCGGCGGCAGGCCCTACGTCTGCAACTGGATCGCCGGCGAGTCGTACTGCGGCAAGCGGTTCACCACGTCGGAGGAATTGTTGCAACATCTACGTAGCCACACGAGCCTGACCGGCGGTGATCACGCGGCCTCCGCGGCGGCCCTGCTCGGCAATCCGCATCCGCATCCGCTGCTGTCGCCGTCGACTACGCTCCATCGTCCCGGCGGCGGCGCCTATCCGGCGCCGTCGCTCAGCCCGCTCAGCGCACGGTATCATCCGTACGGCAAACCGCCGACGGGCCCGCTGCCGGCCTCGCTCGCCGCCTCGCCGTACAGCGCTTTCAACGCCTTAGGACCGTATTATTCACCATATGCGGTTTACGGACAAAGAATCGGCGCCGCGGTACACCCGTAAGATGGGCCATGTCCCGTGGGACGCGTAGGATTTTCCGGAGGAGAACTCTCTTCCGCCCTTATTATCTGTCTCTTTTTTCTTCTCAGTGTACAGTTGGAGAATGTGCAAAGATTAACGTGCAGAGACGGGCATCGGCCGTCTGAGAGAGACTGTTGTGTAAATAGCCGCTGTGTACAATACAAATTTATTTAAAAGAATTCTATATATGTATATATACATATAAATATATGTGTACATTGAAGATTATAATTAAAGTTTATGAAACAACTTGACGGTGTAACGTTGCATCGCGAGACCATTCTCTTGCGGAACTTCTATAATACGAGAGTAATACGCATCTCTGTTGAAAAAAAAAAAAAAAAAATATAATAAAATCCGGTTACCATATAGGGAAGGAGCTACATGCCAGCTGTAAGTTAAAACATTGTCGCTATTTGCTGGGCGGACAAGAGCCTCACTTTCACGCGAGAAATTTCTGATCGCGCTTCCAAACGTATGTCAGCCACCTTTGAATTCTTTCGGCGCTTACAAACGGTTAGCCCCTCGCCGCGTACATCATCCTCGCCCTCACAGGCGACATTAATCGGTTATTCGATGTATGGACGTATGTCTGTGAAGATTGTAAAGTGCGTATTACACGACAAACACTGTGTATGTTTTCCGACGCTCCGCAAATGCGAGCCTCTCATGCTAGATGCGTTCGATAGCGCGGCACCGACGGTCGCGCGTATTCTATATGTCCATGATATAACTGTGATATTACGCTACTTTTTCGAGAAAACGATCGGTGGGAAAGGAATATTATTGACGGATATCGATGGTATCGCCGAGGTAAAATATAACGTTGTAATTTATTATCATCAGTTATGTAAGACAAACATACGAATGCCGTTGCAGCGAACAGAAATAAAATTTATTTCGAGAAATGTTTTATCTGTTTAATCATTCTTTTTTTTTTTTCTTCGAAATTTGATAATCGCACAAGACGAATCTTCGATCAGGGTATACCCGAGAGCGTATCAGATCGCATCACATCGTCTCACATTGTCGAATAGAATGTTCTAATAGAAGCACACATGATGTACGATACGCATTATCTGCGTTGTAAATATTTCTTGTAAATATCGTTGAGTTTCCATACCGCTTTAATAAAAACAATGTTTGTAGAATCATCTAATACTTTGTATTTTACCATTTTGTCACTCGTTCAATCATACATCCGATTCCTTCCTATTCCGCGTTCAGCACTTTAATAATCGTTCATTCTTTTCACATTCTTATCTTCGCGTGGCTTTTCGCTGAATTGATGGTCCCCGTATTTCGATTATCAAACGCGCAACTTTTTTTCGCATTCAAATTTTAATTGCTGTTTACTGAAAATATATCATTGCGCTGACAAGCGCACACAAGAGTATAAATTATTTTGACTTTTTATTCTTATTTGCGCTCACGTATCGTATTCCTTTTTTTCTTTGTTTAGCTAGATACAAAAATCAGTCTCTTGATTTCGCTGACCTGTGACGATCCTCCGCTCATCAGTCATACTTGACAGATAATTTATCAAACGCACTTCACAATCTGTCATCCACCGGCGCCCAGGCATATTTCTTACATGTCCGAATCTATTATTCGTCTGCGAATCGAAGAGCCTGGAAGAGAGAAATTTAAGATAGCGTGAAAGCATTTTATACATTTATAGTAATCTTATTAGAAACAAGATAATTATTTACGACGACTCTCAATCGGCAAGTTTCAATCTGCAAAACTTCTCACAGATAACTTTTACAGTTCTGATTATTTTATTTATTTCATTTATTACTCATATTCCTCTTATCACGAATCAAATAACTTTGCGACGTTCCAGTCAGATATCACGAAACGATATCATTATCAACCACATCCTCGAGTCGTCAATCATTGTCAATGTTGATTCTGAGTAATATCCACTTGTCATTCTGTCCGCGCATCTCAACTAAACATCTTCCACATCTATTTCTATTTAATTAATTTAATTTCTATATTTTTGCATAGCGAGGCGAAACGCGCTATCGTTAGGCGGCGGTTCGGAGGCGACGTGGATCTAGCGACAAAATGCCCAAATCGACAATCCTCTCGCTGCTCTAACATCGTCAGAATGCGGAGCGCCGCGTTCGTGTGCGCGCACGAACAGCGGCGAGTCTCAATCCCTCGGGCACCCCCAGAAGAGTAAATTTATTTCTTTCATTACGGACGGAGCGGGTCGTGAGCTCTCGGATATCAGCGCTGCAAGGCGGGGCGCATAAATCTGCAGCCTAGCGTAGAAGAGAAGGAGGGAAGCAACGGAGAGAGCCAGAGCGAGAGAGGTACGTGTCTGTGTATACGTGTGTGTCTGTGTGTACGTGTGGGTGGCGAACCGTAGGTTTCTCTAGAGCTGGCGGGTCTCTCTCTCTCTCTCTCTCTCTCGTAGGGGTGTGGGAGAGCGAGCCGTGGAGAAGGTCTGCTTCATCCCTCCGTCGTTTCCATCGCCGGGGTGCCGCGACAGGCGGTGGCAGGCTCAGCTGGCTCAGCAAAGTGAAATATTCGGTGATTTTAACCGTCGGGATGAATGGTCCCGCCCGTATTTCGCCTTTCACAGCGCCCTACGCCGATTGGAATCCGTGTTATTTCGGGACGATTATGCGTGTCGCTGAATCTCAATTAGTAACTTGTCGGATGTAACCGTGGTCTTTACGCGTACGCGTCCAGGCTGCTCGCCTCAACTCGCGCCAGATAGTGAAGATGAATGTTTCCTGCTTCGTTTCATTTTGCGCAACGGTTAAGAACTCGCCTGACAAACATGCGCATACTTCATATTAATCGCGACATCTCATTATAATTCTAACGTTCCTCGTTCGTGTGATTTTGTTTTTCGAACATCGCTCCATCCTTGTTTAAGACACGTGTCTTGTGTATTGCGACAACATTCAGGCTTGTGAAAAAAAAAAATGAGGAAAAATTATATTTTATATTTAGAATAACTGCACGGGTCGCGTTTTGCCCCACATTAATTAAAACCTTCAAAGCCAAACGTGCCGCGTTGACGTTAACGTGATTTAACGCGAACCCGCGAGATTACATTACGAATAAACATGTCAATCAACCGTTCAGACATTTTGTGGAAAATCAACGGCTGGCGCGTTTGGCAGCGCGCTCGGCGCGTCTTTTCTGCGACGGACACATGTCACGATCAGAACGTCAGAGTTACGTCTCCGCATGGCGCGTCTTAACTGTCTCTTTAGAAGTGCCCTATCGAATCAAGGAGGGAAATTGGGACGTTCAAACAGCGACACACATACGCGCGCGCATCAGCTGATATCAAAAGAATTTAATCTCATTCACACTTCTCTATCGTTAATAATAAATTCTTGTGCCGGGGTTGCGAAGGGATCTTTATCATCTTCTCGTTGTGTTCCTAATAATATTATTCTGTCTGTATCACTTTTTCGATATCCTATTCAATTTCTTGCATGATTTAGGAAATTTGTATTCGTGATAATAGTCGTTAGTTGCGAATACGAAAGACTGCCAGTCGCTATTTCTGAAATTTCAAGCTTTCTTATTTGACAGCCATTTATATTGTCGCGTTTGCAAATTATGGTGTCTGTCTTTATTACAGAGATATAAAGCGTCGGTTTTCATCATTAATATATTTTTTCACATCTGACACGTCAGATCGTATACGATACGATTTTTTGCATTTCATATTTATCATCAGTTTGTCAGAAAGCAAAAAAGCGATGAATGTTTACTAGAAGCCGCGATGACAGAAAATATTGGTACTTGAATGAAAATGAGCAGACGAAATTCATTTTTAAAGTATCTTTTTAGGGATCGGATATTGCATTTCGTACTACTTGTCTAATAGGTATTTTGATTAGTTATAAGTGTCGGGCTTATTTATCGTTGAAGTATCTCTTTAGCCATTTGGTGTATTGCGAGGCAAATGTCAGATTGTCGATAGCACACCGTAAATAAAAATAGCAGACGATTCGCTGTGTATTATTTACGACTTCCGCAACTCTACGTATCTTTTTTTTCTTCGCCGATAGAATTTCCAATTAAGCTCTCTCTTGTTTTTATAAAAAATGCTCATATCTATTAAGCAGAAGCAGCCGTCTTGCAGTCTCCTTTCATTATCGCAATCCGATAATCTACTTGCAATAATACATTGCGAATCAAGCGCTGACACGAAACTGTTAATGAATACATTTTTTTAATAAATATACAATGCATTCGGTTATTTCTCGAATTCGCGCACGCTGCTTGTTTTTCGCGAGATATTTTTTTCTCCGCCCGATTACACGTCAGATTCTTAGCTGGGTCGACTACCGCGATATGATATTTATTTGCCGTCTGTCCAAAGCCCCCCCCAAATCTCAATCTCGGTAAACGATGCGTCGGGCCGATCGTTGCTACCTGCGAAAGATTTCTTTGTCAGCGAGAAAACCCGGCTGGCGCGATTAGTGCGTCCCTGAGCGACGTCTATCAGGCGTGTTCTGGCCAGTCTTACGAGTCAGCGCGGACAATTTAGCACATCAATAACAGGCCACAGATAAAAGCAGCCCATACATCGTGGTTGACGTATCGTTTGTAATAAAACACAAAGGGGGTCTAGCCGCCAGCGGCATCTGTGTACCGCGCAGCGCAGTCGTTCGTTCATTCTTGCTGTTATTAACAGGCCGTACATCGTGGATGTTTTCTACCTACCGTCTCCCGCCGAGTCATACATCACCGTTGAATGCGCGACAGCAAAGAGCAACTATAATTCATCTATAAGCTACAGCCGATCCCTCCCGGCAGAAATATGGTGGAAGATGAAATCGATAGGTCAAACGTTGCTGACGACGTTTACGTCATACGCGTAAAACTCAGTTTTTCGCTAATTTCGTTTCGCTCGCGATATTAATTTAGACTTCAGTCGGTCGAGCTTAAGAGGCTTATCAAAGTTCCCGTAAAAGACTTTATCTGGGCGATTTTTTTTTTCTCAATTGCCGAATGTGTTTTGTATATGTTATTATCGCTGTTATTATTTTTATTTATATGACATTATCTGTGTCTCTTTACAACGAGCAATCTAATTTATGACAGTAATGCATCTTCCTGGTACATCCGCGTGCACCGAGGATGAACGCGAAATCCCATTTTTACTGTTTACGTACAAGAGAGCGTTTAATTTCGGCGGCACGATCAAGCACGGGATGCGACGCCTTTCAGAAAGTCGTGCCGTGCATCGCGTGGCGAATCAATTCCGAACACTCGCTAAGACCTGCATCTGTTTTTTTTTCTTCTCGTTTTCGTCAAATTGTCCCGCTGATGCGGAAAATCGAGCGGATGCGTAACGTGTACGAAAGGATCGACGAGTGCAGGAATCGATCATGCAGCGAACGCTCGAGCTCGCATAAAGAGGGCACGTCTCGAGGGCGCATATAAGCAGCAAGGAATTGTATTCCGCGCAATGATTCGAATAAAATGTCGCTGTAAACGGTTTTTTTTTTTTTTTTTTCCTTACGTGTCCTGCGCTCAGGATAGATATTATCGCAGCGCGAAGCTCTCCGACATCCACCGAGCCATTTTTCTTAGGGTTACCCATTTCGGAGGAAACGTTAGACAGCTACTACGTTATTTCCATCGATCACGTCGAGTCGAGTAGACGATGTCTCGTGACGAAGAAGTATCGGTGCGAACCCACCGCGAAAATATTTCTCTCTTTTGACATCGACGGCGCAGCGAATGATTCCAGATATCGCTTATGCGTTGTGCAAACGTGTTTATTATCATTTTTATGCAATCGCCCGATAAATAATTCGACGGCCATTAAATTCTCCGATTGACATTCATAAGTGAAAGTTTAACTATTTAATCTGATACAGAAATGTATAAATATCAACGCGTACCAGCTCGTAATATCGAGTCCATAAAAGCTGCAAAATTATCAAAAGGAGAGGAGAGTGCGGTATGAGATTGTTGAGCAATTTATATCTCTATAGGGGAGCTGCAGCACGAACAGCTGCGCTCAATGATTTCTCCTTCTATTACAGCTATCAGTGGAAGATTAGTTTTAACGACGTCTGTAAAACGAATGGCAAGCATTTATCATCTCGTTTATATCGATCACACAGTGTCAAAGTGATAATGTCGTGTTCTTAGATTGCTTTCTTCAGAGCCGTAAATAAATATGACCGGGGGAAGAATAAATAAATATGACAAAATGCCTACTAACAAGCGTAAATGCGGCGGATCTCGAGCCGTGCGCGCGCGACGCGAGAAATAACGACGCTCGCGATGATACACGTCGCAGAAACCAGTTTGCGGAAGCGGCGGTTCATAACCAGATGAAAAGACTGATCATTCTTCTCGAGTTTGTTTGTGCCGCGAACACCACTGTTGTGACATAAACGGATTCATCCCAAGATTTTTCCCCTCTTTTCCCTCTATAACAGCTGTCACTCGGCGGCTCGTTTGCCGAGCCACCATCCTCGAAAGAAACTTTAGACGTCTACCGCATTATTTCCATCGATCACGCGGTGTCAAGCCGACAACGTCGTCGCCGACGGGCCTCTCGGACATCTCTTCAAAGTGGCTGATAGAGAGTCTCCCTTTTCTTGCCGCGGCTGTCACGAGGCAAACAGTCCGCGGCGGTAGCCTACGCCTGAAACGCGGAAAATAGTCGGAGAGAAGCCAGCGCGAATCCATGGACGGGAAGGGAAAAGAGCGGGGCGGTGGAAGATGGCGGAAAGAGTTCACGGGAGCAGGAGACGCGAGGAGCGGAGAGTGAGAGAACGAAAGAGAAAGAGAGAGAGAGGATAGAGGGGAGAAAGAGAGAAGCGAGCGCGGCGGACCGGATGATGAATTAGCCGAGATGACCTCTCGCGCGAAATCTCTCCGCTAGCTCTCGCGGTAGGCAGCTCCCGTGATGTCGGCCCCGAGATGATGGATCGCTTCGCGTCAC